ATAATATTGCATGAGTTCCTTGTTTTTCAATGCAGCATAGTATTCCATTGTGCGAATATACCACAGCTTCTCTACCCAATGACAGACACATAGATCAATGGAATAGAATTGGATTTTTTTTTTAAAGTCCTCCTGATTTTTGCTTTAAGTGTCCTGTAATTCTTCAAGTTTGTTTTTCACCCATAGAAAATATTCAATCATTGTTCTTTTGAATTCTGTGTCAGAAAGTCCCATTAGACATTCTGGCTTCAGGAAATCCATTGCTACTCTGTCTCTTTTGCTTTGTGGTTGTGTGGAAGTGAGGTAGTCTGCTTCTTTCGGGACATTGCTATCATAGAGTGTTTCATGCCTGAGACAATAGCTGGTTCTTGATCTGATGTCACTGCTCCAGAGGAAAATTGGGCATGCACACAAGCAGATGCACATAGAGTGGGTGCAAGCACAGACACACACTTTGGCAAGGAAGGGGTGGGGAAAGACACACACAGAACAGAGATGCACACAGGAAGGGAGTGCAGTGGAGACTTCACTCAATTTTCTACTGTCCTGCTTTTTCCTCGTGGGAGGGTAATGCTGTGGCTCACTGCACCCTATTGCGGCTCGCTGCTCCCCACTGTGTCTTGCTGCCCCACAGAAGCTCATAGTAGCCCATGGACACTTGCTGAACCCTGTTGCTGCTTACAGCTTCCATGGCTCTCAAATGTCCATGTTGATCCACAGCAATGTTTTGAGAAGCACCTATATATTTGTCTTCTCTTTTTGGTCCAAGGGCTAGAAGGTTGAAGGCCTGAGAGCAGTTTGTTCCCCAAAGTACCCGAGTGAGCACGGAGGAAGCCTGTTGCTCCATTCTGGAAATGGCTTCTCACCTTAGCCCAGGATCTCCCTGTTGCCTGAATTTAGGAGTCCCACATGGTCAGGCCAGACAGCATTTTGTTCCCCAAAGTACCTGAGCAACCAAGGAGAAAGCAGGTGGCAAGACCATGTGAGATGCGGGCAGGCTGTAAGACCTCCCTCCATCTTCTTTTGATGTTTTCTGGGTCATTCAATATACTGCCCAAAA